TATGACAAACATACAAGATTTTTCGTAGTGTAGTGGTTATCACGTCTGTTTTACACGCAGACGGTCCCTGGTTCAAGCCCGGGCGAAACCTGTTTTGTTTTCAATTAAAACTCTACTTTTAGTCATTTCATTTCATTCAGTAACATTTATTCAAATCGAAATATGTGAAAGTAAACAATTAATTCTATAGCTATAAATTAATCATAAGGTTCTCTAATAAATATTAATATTTAAATAAAATATTGAAAATCAAGCTGTCCTAGTATTCCTGGAATAATATTCTTGGTAATATTAAGATATTATTATAGGTCATTATTGTAGTGGTTATCACGTCTGCTTCACACGCAAAAGATTCACGTTTCGAGCATGGGCGGAACCTGTTTTTTGTTTATTTTTTTCATTTAAACTTTTTTCATTTAAACTTTGTTTCATTTAAAACTCTACTTTTAGTCTTTATTAATCATAAGGTTCTCTGATTATTAATTATATTCGAAATAAAATACTGAAACAGATCAAGCTGTCCTAGTATTCCTGTAATAATATTCTTGTTATATTAAGATATTTATTATAGGCCATTGTTTTTGTGATCGTGTATTGTAATAACCTCGACAGCGTTCAAAGCTCTTCAAAATTTCGCATAATCAAGATCAATCTCGTGGCTTTATTAATTTCATGAGAAACATACAAGAGGTTTCGTGGTGTAGTGGTTATCACGTCTGCTTTACACGCAGAAGGTCCCCGGTTCGAGCCCGGGCGGAACCTGTGTAGGCCTATATTTTTTATCATTAAAAACTCTACTTTTAGTCTTTATAAGGTTCTCTGATAATTATTTAAATTCGAAATAAAATACTGAAATAGATCAAGCTGTCCTAGTATTCCTGGAATAATATTCTTGGTACATTAAGATATTATAGGCCATTATTTTTGTGATCGTGTATTGTAATACTTTCGACCGTGTTTAAAGCGCTTCAAAACTTCGCACAATCTAGATCAATGGTACTCTGAGTTAACTATTTTTATAACAAGAATAGAAAGGGTTTCGTGGTGTAGTGGTTATCACGTCTGCTTCACACGCA